TCACAGGAGAATTATGAAAACTTTGATTAAAGTGCAAATCTTCCCAAAACAACCAGAGCCAAATTTAGAATAGTGAATAGGTACCTTAGGAGAAATATCTTAGGAGACAAAGTGATTAAGGCATTATGTGATGACATTCAGTTATCTTCCTGTGCTTTACCAAACAGAATTGTACTCTCACTCGTAAATGAATCTGATTCCATAGGTTGACCTTGGGAGAGGGTTTCAGAGAGAAATTCCATACACACACTGAGTTTTCTGTTGTCGGTGAGCAGACACAACAGGGGGTGAAAAAAATCATAGATTCTAGGAATCTTTGTGCCTGTGAGCCATGTGTTTACTCGCCATAGAGGGGATGGGATGTGTTCAGTGGTCTTCTCTGACAGCATAGTCACAAGACCAGGTCAGAATGTTCCTGCTGTCTCCAACAGACCTATGACCCCCCAGTTCAACAGGCCAGATTCCACAAGCTCCCAAAATTACTATCAGAGGTCTCAGAATCCAGTGCTTGCCTACTGACGAGGTTTTTGACATTTGGGGAGTGTTTTTAGACTGGAAACCTTTCAGAATCGCTGACTAAATCATTCCTGGTGCAACACACACTTAACAGCTTCATTAAGGTATTATTCATGTAGTATAAAACTCACCCGTTTTAAGTCTACGGTGATTTTTAGTTGTCACACACCTTTATGTGGATACAGTTCAAATTCCTAAGCAATCCATTTCATTCTTTGGGTAAAAAGTAGGAAGCGTGTAATGTAATAGGATGAGGCATTTGATGGGATTTAGCTCACTTTTTGTAAGTCATCAGAAGGAAAGTGATGAATTTACACCCTCAGTAAATGCCATAAATAAGTCATTATTAAATAATTCCATAGCCAGGCTCAAAATAAGCCCTTGACACTGAATGGATTCATGCCATCTGCTGCAGAATTCCCTGATATTCCAGGATAATCTCTGGAGTTTGGGATTATTCAGCAACAAGGAACACTTCTGCTTTATCACTTTCTTTTAGATGAGCGTCCTCAGGAAACTTCTGACCTGCAACACCTGAAGGTGAGTATCCCCCAAATCTGAAGGACCACAGGGCCTTTCTCCCTCCACTGATGTGAATTTGGTAAGAGTGGGAGAACATCAAAACTGGCCTGGTCCTCACTGCCTCTCTTTCCTGGTCTCTTTATCATAATGCCAGATGGAGCATCAGTAGCTTAATAATTAACAGCTGTGACAGCTGATACTACTTATGTGTTCATAGTTACGCCATATATTCCTTAAGCATTTCATGTGCAATAATTTATTTAATCCTTAAGAAAACCTTTATGAAGTTGTTACTGTTATATATAAACAATGATGAGAATATTAAAAATAATAATAGTATATGATAATAACAACGATGTTATGTTACAGAGTCGTTAATTTGCCTGAGACCACGGTGGCAGTGACGGTAGTCTAATCCAAAGCTCCGAAACATTTCCAAGCTTATGGATATTTCATATGTTTATGAAGTTCAGGTTGACTCCGTAGGATTTTTACCCCAAAGCTGCTGCTGCTGCTGCTTCCCTTTAAATTCTCATTATGACAATAGGAAGTACCGGTCCCTTCTCCTCTGTCACAGAAACACTGTCACGTGGCTTGAGAATGGCTTAGACCCCGGGTCTCTCACTAATGTGAGCTCCTTCAGGCCTTACCTGCACCTCAGGCATCTCTGAAGAGTCAGGTCAGCCTGAATGTGTATTGAATAAGTGATTCCACAATTGAAGGTTAAACCAGTCGAGAGGGGAAAGGGATCTGGGAGTTGGGTTGCCACAGTGGAGACAGTTGAGGAGAGAACTCAAAAAAGGGTCATAAGAGAAAGTATTCCTCTTTGTTATTACCACATTGCAAGTGTTTACAAGCTCAGAGTGTTACGTTCACCTGTTGTCCACTGTTTCCTGAATGAGGGAGCCAAATGAAAGGCAACTGAAGTATGCTGGCCATATCACACTCTGACACAAACAGAACTACTGTGGGAACCCCCTCCTTATTTTCACATAAATGATCTTTCCAGGGTAGGACAGTATGTCACAAGGCGCACTCCTTTCTTTACTGTCTCCATTGATTTCTGTGAACCACCCTTTCCTCTCTTTTCCCCACATTCATGTTCCCCACACCATTTCCCAGCAGTGTTTGATCCTCTCTATATACTTTTATAGGTTCTCTCCCAGAAGCTGTTTATTCACTTATATGAGATTACTTACATTTCATAGAAAGCTCTCCTTGCTTTCACAGACGTCACAGATCTTAGAATGCTATTCCTTTTTATTTTTTGATTCGACATAGTTTATTTCTTTTTTTAGCATTTTATTTTATTTTATTGTGAGTTTTAAGTATATAGCACATTGGATAGACATTTATATAATTTATGAAACTATCCCCTGATTGCGCTTACTGTCCTCTGACTCTACACCTAGCCATTACCTTACTGCTGACTGCATTCCCTGTGCCGTGCTCCCCATCCCTGTGATCATCTATCAACTACTAATTTGTACTTCTTTAACCCTTTATTACTTTCTTCCAGCCCCACAACTCCCTCCCCTCTGGCTCTGACCAGTTTGTCCTCTAAATTTCTGAGTCTGTTCTCGATTACTTTGACATCTTTCCCTTATATTCCGCATGTAAGTGAAATCGAATGGTATTTATCATTCTCTGTCTGACATATTTGACTCAGCATTATACCCTCTAGGTCCATCCACGTCATTGCAAACGTTAGGATTACATTTTTTATGGCTGAGTAATATTCCATTATATTTATGAACCATAACTTCTTTTTTCCAACTATTTTTTATTTATTTATTTTTTATGATGACATTCGTTAATGAAATCCAATAAGTTTCAGCTGTACACTTTAACAATAAGCTGTGCGTTCACCACCCATAGTTACATTTATTTCTGTCACCACATATTTAACCCACTATACCCAGTCTACCTCGACTCGACTCTCCCCCCTAACCCTGCCCCTCTGGTAACCACTAGTCTACAGTCCATGTCCATGAGTCTCTGTTTGTTTGTCCGTACATTTGTTTCTATTAGTTTATATCTCACATATAGGTGATATCATGGGATTTTCAACTTTTTCTGTCCGGCTTATTTCGCTTAGCATGATTATCTCAAGGTCCATCCAGGTTGACACAAATGGCAGTATTCATCTTTTCTTATGGCTGAGTAATATTCCATTGTATATATTTACCACAGCTTCCTTTAGCCAGTCGTCTATTGTAGGACACTTCGATTGCTTCTATGTCCTGGCCACTGTGAATAATGCTGCTATGAACATTGATGTTCAAATATCTTTTTGGATAAGAGTTTTCAAGTCTTTGGAGTAAATACCCAGGAGAGTGATTGCCGGATCATGTGGTAGATCAATTCTTAGTTTCTTGAGGAACCTCCATACTGTTTTCCAAAGTGGCTGTACCAATTTGCAGTCCCACCAGCATTGTATGAGGGTTCCTTCTGCTCTGCATCCTCTCTAACATCTGTTATTACTTGTCCTGTTGATTATAGCTGTTCTAACAGGTGTGACATGGTATCTCATTGTGGTTTTGATTTGCATTTCCCTAATAGCTAGCGACGTTGAGCATCTTTTCATGTATGTGTTGGCCATTTCTATGTCCACTACGGAGAAGTGTCTGTTCAGGTCCTCTGCCCATTTTTTCATTGGATCGTTTAGTTTCTTTTTGTTGTTATTGAGTTGTATGAGTTCTTTGTATATTTTGGATATTAGGCCCTTATCGGAGGCGTTGCTTGCAAATATATTTTCCCATTCAGATGGTTGTCTCTTTACCTTTTTGACAATTTCTTTTGCTGAGCAGAAATTTTTTAGTTTGATGGAGTCCCATTCATTTATTTTTGCTTTAAGTTCCCTTGCTTTTGAGGTCAAATTCATAAATTCCTCTTTAAGTCCAAGATCCTTGAGTTTAGTTCCTATGTTTTCTTCTATGCATTTTATTGTTTCAGGTCTTATATTCAGGTCCTTAATCTATTTTGAGTTAATTTTGGTGTGTGGTGATAGATAACAGTCTAGTTTAATTATTTAACAGGTAGCTTTTCAGTTTTCTCAGTACTATTTATTGAAGAGGCTTTCCTTTCTCCACAGTATATTTTTGGTTTATGAGCATTCTTTTATAACCATGTACCCATATGCATTTTCTAAAGCTATCATCTTTTATAACCATGTACACATATGCTCCACAATTTATATATCACGAATCACGTAACAATTGCCTCTGAGATATCTATCTTCATTAGAAATATATTGTACACTAAAAAAAAAAACAAAGAAAAAGGAAAAAAACTTCATTACTATCTATTTGCCATTTCGGATTTCTGAATAATTGTAATTAAAAACAAAAAGAAGAAGAAAACAAATATTGTATAGTCCTCAAAGATTATCCTGACTTTTTAAAAAAATACTCTTGTCGGAGAAACAGACATATGCTTATCAGCTTTGCAAAGTGGTTAAAAGCACTGG